GCTGTGACAGGTCACCCCCACCCAGCACCCAAATCCAGCAGTCTCCGGGTGCAGCAGCACCTCCCAGCCCCCAGAACCACCAGAGACCCTCAGTGCCACCAAGCCATGGACAATTACTGTCGCTGAAAGCTCGGGTGACATAATGCCACCAAGCCAAAGACCCTCATGGCTACCAAGCCATGGACACTCACTGTCCCTCAGCCAGGATGTCCCCTCAGTGCCACCAAGCCTCTGGGCAGCTCCCTGCCACAGACCCTCGGGAGTCACCAAGGGGCAGGTGCCATGCCGGGGGTGGGGTGCCCCAGGAAGAACCTCTGGGCTCCCCCAGGCAGCCCCCGAGGGCAAAAGGTACAGCTGTTGCATTGGCCGGGAATCGAACCCGGGCCTCCCGCGTGGCAGGCGAGAATTCTACCACTGAACCACCAATGCCAGATGTTGGGAATCTCCAGGTGCCTGCCCCACGGACCCACATCCAGTGCAATGGGAGCAGCAGGGACAGGCACTGTCCTCCCAAGAGGGCACCCCAAACGACAGCTCTGTCATTAGCCTTCAGAGTTAACGCTCTGATGAGAAGACCGACCAAACCTCCCTCTCTCCTCGGAGGGGCTGTAGACCCTGCCCCATGGCACAAGACAACCCAGCCATGCTTCGGGTTCACCCTGGAGACCCAGCTGTGACAGGTCACCCCCACCCAGCACCTAAACAACTGCCTCCGGGGTGCAGTGGCTGCATTGAGGCAGCAGAAGCTTGAGCTCTGCTACCACTGCAGCAAGGTACTGCCACCGGGAAAACGGCCATGAATCTGGGGTTCACTTTCTGCAGGGCCCCCCCAGGCCGTGACAGTGCGTGACCCCGTGACGGTGGTGATGACGCTCCCATTGGTAAGTAGGATTGGAGGCAACAAAAAAGTCACTGCATTGGCCGGGAATCGAACCCGGGCCTCCCGCGTGGCAGGCGAGAATTCTACCACTGAACCACCAATGCCAGATGTTGGGAATCTCCAGGTGCTGCCCCACGCCCCCATACCTGGGGTGCCAACCTCTGCCCCCCATGCAGTGGGGTTGTGCATGCCCGTGCTGCCCCCCGGGTGTCCACAGCCACGTGTCCCCGCCGCACACGTGTTACGTGTGCCCCATGTGAGCCCCCACATCATGCCACGCCATCACACCCCACGCGTCACCCATGCAGGGTGTGCGAGGCCGTGCGTGCCCGAGCTGGGGTGCCGGGGGGAGCCCTAGGGGGTCCCTACCTGCTGGTACTTGCTGTACTCCTTGCCCAGGGCATCGAAGAGCTGGCACAGCTCCTGGGTGTACTCCCACGACGGGTGCTTCTCCAGCAGCACCCCGTGGATGCGCAGCACGGCCTGGGAGCTGACATGGAACCAGAGGTACCGCAGTGCCACCTCCGACACCGTCCCGTTGCGCTGCGGGAGAGAGGGCGGACGGGGTGAGCCCCACGCAGCCCCCCCCGGGGTGTGCCCGTGGCATCCCCATCCCCATCTTACCAGGCGGGTGATGTTGGACGGCCTCAGGACCTCTTCGTATCGCACCTGGATCGTGTAGTCGATGGGGAAGTAGTGTTTCTGGAAAAACGGAGAAGAGCCCGAGGTCTGGCAGGGAAGCGGTGGGGACACCCCTGCCACCCCC